TTTATGAAAGAATTGTTAGATGCTCTAGGTGGGTTATTCGATGGGTCTTATGAACTTAGCTGGCTTTCAGGTGTCAATGTATTAGTTTACTTGTGACCAGGAATCCTTAACATTCTCCTCCACTTGGCTAAACTTTAGACAGTCTTCTTCCTGATACCCCCTTTTTTTACAGCTTTTGCTTTAGAAAACTTATAAATCCTTTATCTGCCTCTTTGAGATGTAGATTTTTTAGAAAAAATTTTGCCAGCCTTACAGCCCTGAAAGTCTTTCTCAAGGACCTTGAACCTTTAAAATATAATCTCAAGGAAGGTAATGCCCCTATCTCCCAGTTTCTGTGGGTGGAGAGGAGCCTAAATTCTGCAGGCACCTTGCTCCAAATGTAAAGCTACTTGCAGTCTTGAAGATACAAGAAAGTTTATATTTCTTTGGAGTTAGGCCAGTTAGCAAACACAGGTGGTCTATGCTCCCTCACTCCCATCCTAGCTCTTAAAAACTCTCCCGCCTTTGAGCTTAGATTGAGTACTATCCTCTGTCCCCTAATGCAATTGGCCTGAACAAATTCTACTTTTCCTGTGTAACTTTGTCCAGTGCAATTTTTGCCTTGACCCCTGGGTGCCAGGTCTGTGGACTCATATTAATGACATTTTAAGGATTGATTTACAAAACAAAGTGCCAGTTTTATATTTTAAAACTGAACCAGCTAAATATTCCTGAACAAGCATCCCAGTACCAACAAGTTATATAGTATAAAAGTACAAGGAGAAGTCCAACCCAAGAAATGACTGGTAAACCCTGAATTAAAATTAGCTGTTCTCACCTAACTTGCAATATTTACCACTTTCACTTTGGCGTTATTGCTGCATAAAGAGCCATGCCTATTTGTTTAATATGACAAAAATCGTTTCTTTTAACCATTATTGGCTAAACATCAACAATTTTTGAAAACTTCTTCTCCTTCCAGCTGGTTGTTTAATTACCTGTGATAATGTTGAACTTTACCTGACCCCTATACTCTTAGAAAACAGCAAGGGTCAAGAAATCCAAGCCCCACCCCCTGCCATTCCATAACTTGACCAAACTTTAGTCAGGCTTCTTGCTTTCCCCAGGGCCGTGAATTTTGGACAACTCTGAGTTTAAACAAGTGTTGGGAGCTCAACCAAGCAATGGAAAACAGAACAACCTCTCAGAATTGGCTGACCACAAAGAAAGACATTTCCTGCTCAAATACCTGATTATACTACCTGCTCACCGCATGTCCGCATAGCCAGCTCTTTCCAGTCATGTTTACTCCTCCACATTAAAGAGAAGCCCTTTCTCCCTGACCTCTGAGATGCTTGCAGATCTCACAGTTGGAGCGTTCTCGCTATTGCATTAGGCCCCCTTCTCCTATCGCAATAGTCTTTTCAAATAAAATCTCTCTTTCTCTAAGTCCGGATTTATTTTTTTATTTGACACCAAAAATGACCGCCATTTTCACTGATTGCCAAACTTTATCCCATCTCTACATTCTATGGTTCTTGCTTCTGAAATCTCTTTTCTGCTGTACTTTTTCAGTTACAAATTTAACTTCAGAAACATCTCATGGGCAAGTTTTGTCACCATGGAAAACTTTGAGTAGATTGACATTCTAGAGATATATTTGTTTCATATTTTCCAATGAAGTACTATACATTTTTGGAATTTAATTAGTTGATTTTGACATGCACAACTCTGGAAAACCAAAATTTGACAAAGTTTTTCTAAGGAGATGAGGATGAATTAAAATTTACAAACTAAATTTTCTCAAGCAAAGGTTTGTTGACTATGACTTTGCTTTTTCCAAAAAATTGTGGCTATGTGTTTTTACAGAGTCTGAAGATAACTTGAAAATTCAAATTGGCTTCTCTTCAGTCTCCTCTTGCATGTGTGCAGGTAATAACAAAACTAGTGAAATATTAACTATGTATATTTAAAGCAGGTGCAAATAAAACCATACCATGGACCACAGAACCAAATCCATTTAAGAACATCTGTTATTTGGGGTCAGGCATGCTTTTCTGTACAATCAGCTACTGGCCTTACCACCACCATGACAGCTGATGCATGTTTCTAGTTTATGCCTCTACTTCTTGCCTAAAAATAACTCCAGGGAACTTGTTGTATAATTTGATTTTGGGACTTAATAATTTAGAAGGAACAAGGAAAACGTCATGGTGTCCTGGAACATGGCTCTACAGTAGGAGTCAGGAGACCTGGGCTCTAATATTGGGGCTGTCATTTATTTATGGTAATCTTAGGTAGGTCACTTAAACTCTTCTGAGCCTCCATTTCTTTAGGATAATTAATTTCTGCCTCATGTATTAATTTTAAGGACAAGAAGAGATAATATATGTAATAAGAGTTTATAATATTGAAATAATATCATTGCTTGTTAGAATGTATATCTCATATCTTCAAGAGATTATGAGCTATGTAAAACAGGGGCCCTAGAGGACCGTAACCACCTAACATAGGAATAGACACATAATAGTTGTCATAATAGTTGCTCAATAAATCCTTTCAAGTGTGTGATTTGTACGTATGACTATAAAATACTAAAATAAATTCCACAAATAACTCGACAAACATTTATTGTGTGAACATTATTATGCAGGTCCCTTAAGACATACAAAATGGATCAATATGACTCCTGCCCTCCAGGCACTTACAGTCCATCAGAGGACATCAGAAATGTGATAAATAACAAGACAGAAGATAGGAAGAGTCCTAAGAGAGGTACAGAGGCAGTACCATTAAGAGTTCACTGGAGAAATTATTTCTAGCTTGGAAAATTATGAAGGATTTCATGAAGATGAATTATGAGTTGTACCTTGAAGCATAAGTAAAATTAAGACATGGAGGAAGACAAAGAAATTCTAGTCCAAGAGCACAAATATCCTGGCAGATCGTGAGTACAGTGGGCTGGGAAGGAACCGTCTAGGACTGGAGGGCATAACCCACCATCTATGGGGATAGCTGCAACTCAGTTTTGGCAGAATGTGTGTGTGTGCGCACACATGAGAGAGAGTGCAAGAATGAAGTGGAAACTTAAAGGGAGTGGGCCAGAAGAGGGTTTCCTTAAAATTATGATTCCCTGATACTTCTCAACCTGCACTTTTGGTTGTATTAATAGATAAAAAAAACTTGGCATCCTTCTTAGAGCAACCAAAACATCTGCCCTAACATTTTTAAGTATGTAATTTCTAGTTAGTTTTAATATATTAATCTAATATTGAGTTACTAGAAGTAAAGAAAAATCAGAGTGAATGTAAGATTTTGTTTTATGGCAGTGAATATTTAGAAGGAATATTAGCTAATATATTGAATTTATATGTTTTTAAAAATGTACTGAATTTATGTTTTCAAACATATGCTTGTGTGTTTTATCCATTAAGATTTTATAATTGGGGATGGGTGACTGCATACATGGTTTGCATTCACACCTGTACATTACTGAGATGGAGCTGGGCATTATGGATTTAGATATTTAGACACATAGATAGATATACACACACATATATAGAGGCATGTACATATATACATACACATATGTGTGTGTATTATATATGTATATACAGAATGTGAGGGAAAGATTGATTTATCAAATATTATTCATATCACCAAAAAGTCATCTTATAAATTCAATAGGCTATACAATTACATTATAATTAACATAAAGTTTAATTTATTGAAAAATCAGTCCTTAGTTACGTTATACTCTTTTTTTTGCATAACAATGTTGCTTTTATTTTGAAAATCTGATTAAAAATATACTTTTAACATCTTGACATTGAGAACATTATAAGTATCTGACAAGAGTTCAGCGTGAGCTGTGGGGTTCTTAAGGCTCTAGCTTAGAGGCGCACTTGAGTGTTGAAGCACCATTGTCTCTGCATCGTGGCCTGAGTGCTGGGTCCCCAGGGTCGTGAAGAGCAGGAACTGATTCACTTGAGCTTCGAGCAGACCGCAGAAGAACACACAGCTCAGGTTTAGCCACAAACTAATCTAAATAAACATTTTAAGTACTTTGAGGACCCCAACCTCCACTATACCCCTCCCTTACTTGTCTCAGACTGAAAAACACAATTTCAGATCATTGAGAGGAGCAAGAAATTGGTGAAATCCTTCCCATGGCATTTCCTTTAATGTGTTATCTGAGGGAGCAAAAGATGCCACCACTGTGGCTTTAACAAGAGAGGACACCATGGACCTGTGGTGCGGTTGGCCCATCTCAGGCTTCCCACTCTCAAACCAGAGACAAATCATTCTAACAAATACATATACTTCCCTTTTCCTTCTGCTAGAGAACAGATAGATAAAAAATCTTTTAAATCCTGAATAAGTTCATTTTTTGTATGCTATGTAGAACTGTACTATGAGTAGTTTCTTTTGTAAAACATGCAGCGAACTTCATTACTTAAAATTAACATTTCCCCTGTATTGTTTTCTGTATGGTATCTTACTGTTTTCTACTAGTTGTGTCTTTTTGCAACAAGATAGAAAAAAACATAATTTTTATGTAAGAGTATGATGGCAGCAGATTTTTGACAAGCCCCATTTACATGGTACATTGTTTCAAAGGGTGTTTGAGTAGAAAATACAGAAGCACTATACAAACCTATTATTACATTTGAGAAATCATTAGCCTCAAAGGAGTAATAACGGTATGCTATTAAAACCGTGAATACATTTTCAGTATCTGTATTGAAAAAAAAAACTTTATAAATATGTAAATTTCTGTTCAACAAATCCAAAATAAAATGCACTAAAAAACTGATATGTAGACAAAAGTTTATTTACACCATACAACATTTTAAATATTTTATACACAGCTGCAGCAGAGAAAGCTACTCAGAGCTTTCTAGAGAAAACTGCAATAATAAAGATGTGAAATATATTATTCATATAAAAGTGAGATTATTACTTTATTGCATTTAAAGCAATGAAGAATGTAGCTCAACAAACATTCATTTAATGACAAAAACTTTGCTTTTATATTATAAAGTAAAAAGTGTAGTAATGGCCAAACAGACTGTTATAAACTTTAAAAACTGCATAAATATATACATTGTGCTTCATGGTGAAGTTTTTTGAAAACTAAACCATATGAAGCAGTTACAACATGAATCGTTGCTTGAGGTTTATCTATAAAGATTACCTTACAAATCCATTCCACGGGTACTTACAACACAGGATGGTCAGAACTGTACACCTGGTCGTCTCTCCACTAGCCTGACTAGTGAGAAGTTACCATATGAAAACACCACTGACGTTTGGCACATGAAGGTCCTGACAAGATAGTCACACTGTCCAGATAGAAATGTCAGGCTTCCCAAGTCTTAAATGTCAGTGCAATAAATTGGTTTTTTTTTCTCCACCTCAGTCCATTTTGATTTTGTTAAACTTCTGTTTGAAAGTCACCCTCCTGCACATCCAGAGGCAAATTCAGACACTTCTCCCACTCCGCCGGCCTCAGTTCCAAAGCATCCTTTGCCTCTGTATCTAAGACATTGATTGTGGTGTAATGTTGGTAGTCACTGGGGTTTTTGAAAGTGTCCCATGGATTCTTGTTTGGTGCTGGATTTTCCTGTTGAGAAGAGAGGGAAAGGAGTCATTTATCCAATATTTGAATTTTCCAGGAAGAGAGCATATTTGTGACCTTAATCCAGTTTATATAATTGAGAGGTGATTGAAATTATGGCCAGCTGCAGGAAATTGTTCTGATTTTAGTTTTCTTTCATTGACCAAACTGATGAATACCTTCTCTAAGTCATCCTACAATTTTCTAGGAATCAAAGGAAGTGAATAGTATCATCGAAGGCAAAGTAGATGACTTTTTGTTTTGAGCATCTTGTGAAATGTCAGTATGACTATATGTTCAGGTAGCACAAAGCATTAAGTCACCACTAAGATTAACCATAGAAAATATAAGTACTGTGATAATTTTTGGTGGGATAAACAAATTGGAGGATATTTACTGGGGCATGTTATTTAATAATAGAAACAGTTCCAAACTAACAGTAGTCCATAAAAAGAATTTAGATCAGTATCTTTGCTTAGTTTTTCTGAAGAAATTATCTTTTATAGAATATTTAAATGCTGCTATAGTCCCCTGTGTAGTGATTTTTTTTGTTGTACAATACCAAGATTCACTAAAATTAATCATTATTCATGAGAGAAAATTTAACTGTTTCTCTAAATAATTTTTCAACTTTTAATTTTATCCCAACAAAACCTATTTATCTGTATGAGGCTTTCCTCTTAAAAATCATTGCCTTTTAATTTCTATTAGCTCTTGATTTCTTTTATTCAGGATTATTAAAGTGGTTTAAAAGCCCAATATTCTAATTTTATTTCCATTTTTCACTATAGGCTTGTTTAGTGAGAATACCATAGTTGTTGAATGTGTCCTTCCCCCTTCCAAAATCTGGCCTATAACTGATTCTCAAGTGGAACATAAAATAGGTACTTGGATTATTATCTGGGTTCACCCAGTATATTAAACATCATCTTGAGCTATGGGTAAGAAAGAGAGACAATCTATAGATAGACTTATAACTAAGCCAGGTGCAATGGCATGCACACATGGTCCCAGCTACTCAGGAGGCTGAGACAGGAGGATCACTTGAGTCCAGGACTTTGAGACCAGCCTGGGCAACATAGTGAGACCCTGGCACAAAAACAAAACAAAACAAAACAAAACAACAAAAAAACCACACCATTTGTTGTAACCAAACATTAAATTACTAAAATCCTCAATGCATTAGTTGTTTTCAGCACTTATTAGCCTTACTCATGAGGAGATACAAGAAACAAAATAGCTAAAAGCAAAGATTTAAAAAAAGTTAACTTCAGGGGATCAATCCTGCTTTAGTTTAATATGCTAAAGTATCATGAACTCTCCCTCCCCTGTCTTTCCTTTCTTCCTTCTTTCCCTCTCTGTCTTTCTTCAACTAATACTTATTTATTTGCTTCTCTGTGCTGAACTTTATGTTAGGCACTAGAGAGAATAAGGTGATAAATCAAATATGGAAATGCAGAATGGTCCACTAGGTAACTCAAGATTTAAAACCTGATACACGCAGCTCCAAATTCTAGTTTCTCCACTTCATATGAAAGTGACCTTGAACAATTTACTCACTTTTTCTGATCTTCAACTTGAATATTTGCAAAACAGAGATATACTTTGCCTTGTGGGCCAAAGGAGTTGGTAGAATGTGTGAATCAATTCCTACTTCGTGGGGTTTGCAAAAATTTAAAAAAGCGGGGGAGCTTAGAAAAATGCCTGGAGAATTTTATAAATGCTCACTATATAGTAACCATACTTCTTATGGAAGGTGTTTATAGTTAAATGGAGGTATAAAAGATATTTATATCTATGATCCAGGAAAAGTGCTATGGGAATTCAGAGGAGGGTAGAGACAGGGCTTTCTTTTATGGGAAGCACATAAAACTTTTGACAACAGTGACATTGGGGCTGGCATAGAAGGATAGGCTTGATCATGAAAACACATGTTTTTGAAGTTTTGGTGACTAAATAAGAACACTAAGAAGTGAAAATCCAGAGAGCACGAAGATGGGAATACCATGAGAACAGTGATGCATTTATTTTAGTCGTCATAAAAAAAAGAGCAGAAACAACAGGTAGCAGGTAAACTGGAAGCCAGATCGTAAGGGGTTTTGAATGCCAAGTGACTCAATTTGGAATTTATTCTGTAGGCCACAGGGAATTGTTGAACATTTGGGGGAACTACAGTAACCTGAATCATCATTCATCAACTGAAAGGTTCCCTGGTATGAATTCTGCTGAATCAGATCTATCGAGTGGACTTATCTATCTTAGACAAGGGCTATGTCTAAAGGAGCTGTCTGGGAATTTTCAGTTTGACAGAAAGTCCATTTATTTCAACCCTGAAAGGATTCAAAGTATGTAAAGTGTTAGTTTATTTGCTTGGAAAATAGGGGCTCCGTTATGTTTGGAACAGGTGTGATTTCCCTACTACATTTCAAAGATCAAGCACCATGGATATATGAACTAAAATGGCTAATCTTAAGCTTTGTCAGAATATCTATATTCTAATCCCAAAGAGTATTATTGTCAGTACGTGACCTACTATCATATTTCTGAGAGGTTCTATGAGAGAGTAAGACATTAATTTGCAAAGTTGGCTTTCTTGTTCATCTCCTTAGGTATCCCAAGGCACTCCCAGATGAACTGGGATTCTCACCATTGCTCACAAAGGCATGGACACCCTTTAGGTCAGAAGCCCCTGCTTCTTTAGTGGTGAAGAACTACTGAACCCAGCAGTCAGAGTGGGAACAAGATATACAGGGAGTGGGGAGGGGGCTGGCAGTCAGTGCACAGTGCCCACAAGCTGCTCATCTTCCTGTGCATTGGGCATGCTAAGAGGGCAGCTTGCAGACTCTCCTATGGAAAAGTGTAACATTTGCAATGGTCTAAGTGAATGATGAGCTGTGGAACAGCCCAAAGGGATCATTGAATTTGTCAGTGAGAGGTGCAGGTGCCAGGAAAGGCTTCAATGGAGGCCTGAATCTTGTGATAAAAAATTCAGTCAGGAGGCCGGGCGTGGTGGCTCACGCCTGTAATCCTAGCACTCTGGGAGGCCGAGGAGGGAGGATCGCTCAAGGTCAGGAGTTCGAGACCAGACTGAGCAAGAGCGAGACCCCGTCTCTACTACAAACAGAAAGAAATTAATCGGACAACTAAAAATATATAGAAAAAACTAGCCGAGCATGGTGGCGCGTGCCTGTAGTCCCAGCTACTCGGGAGGCTGAGGCAGGAGGATCGCTTGAGCCCAGGAGTTTGAGGTTGCTGTGAGCTAAGATGATGCCACGGCACTTTAGCCTGGGCAGCACAGTGAGATTCTGTGCAAAAAAAAAAAAAAAAAAAAAAAATCAGTCAGAGTTAGTATAAGTTCCTAAATTTATGCGGCTGTTTTTTGTTTGTTTGTTTAATTTTTGAGCTTGAGTACAGAATGGAAGAGATGCACTTAAACTGAAGCATGTTGTTAAAGGCCCGATAATTATAAATTTAATATAAGCAAATATGCACAAAGCTTCCAAAAATGCTAATTTGATCTTAAACTACGTCAGTAGAATTAGAATGTTAGATGAATATGAGAATTCAAAGACATCCAAGATATGGCAGGGCTGTCTGAGCACTTTCCGTGGTTCATCGGTCCAGGAGCATGCTGGCCGTCCATTGCGGATTACTCCCTCCCTCCTTTCATCCATCTATTCTTTTCTCTCTTATGCCTTCCCTTTCTTCATCCTTCCCTCCCTCTCTTCCTTCTTGCCTTCATCTAACCTACCAATATTTGGGAACAAAGCAAAAGAGAGTATATCTATTCTAAAAGAGCAAGAATTTGGAGAAGGTACTTGGGGGAAAGAGATCTTGACTGTGAATGGTTTGTGAGACACATTCAAAGTAAAATAGTTTCTTTTCTTGATATCATTAAACAGTGCTTTTTCTTTTTTAGTGTGATTTAAATGTTTTCCTTCCTGGAAGCAGGGAAATGGACTAAGTGGTCTTTTGGTTTCCCTTTGATTTCCCAAATTCTATTTTTCTACATAATTACCGTCATTTGCAGTGCTAGGCAGGTGCTATGAGTTAGCAGCCCAGAAAAAAAAAAAAAAAAGAAAGAAAGAAAAAACCCTTTATTTGAGATTAAAAAAAGTCTTTCTCCACCCAATTATGCAATTTTCCATTAGCAATGTGCCACTACAAATTATGTGACTGAATTAAGGATAATGAACTCACTCACATGTTTCATTATTAATGAAAACTGAATAAGGAACTTTTTTTTTCTGTTCTCAGATATTTAGGACGATAGTCAAGCAACAATGACAACTCTATCCTCCCCATTCCTAACCTTCCAAATGGTAAATATTTATAAATCTCTCCTAGAAAAGGCATGCTGCTGCCGAGATGTGGTGTAATTAGTAATCTATTTTGGTTGTCAGGAAACTGAGATACAGATATTTGTGCCATTAATGATTTAATACCCAGACCATACAAGGGGAAATTACAATCATATTATAGCAGTCAGCCAGCTGTATCTGTTGCGTAAGCCTTTTAGAGTTGTAAATATAACCCTTTCCTTTTTTTTTTTTTTTAAACAAATGAGGTTTCTTCCATTTATTTCAATGTTAGCTTTCAGTATTCCAAAATGAGTAGCTAATGTGTTTAGGTTTAATCTCAATGGTGTAATTCTCATTTGCTAGCTAGCTAAAAATTGATGACTTAATATTAGGAGGAGCAGATGAGAAAGAACAACTCATTATGTGGGAAGTGTCTTCCATATGCCTAGAACTGTGTTGGTGATAACAAATAATACATGATTCCTGCTTTAAGGAGAAAAATAAATTGATATACACATGAAACACTTAGAGACCACGTAATAGTTAAAATGTATAGTATTTCTTAAAGCACCGAACAAACATAGATTAAACTATCACAGCCATACAATAAGTCAACAGCAGCTATTTATTGATAACTTACCATGACCAGCATTGTACTAATACTGAGAAAAATAAAAGAAAAACACATAGGATACATAAATTCTTGCTCTTCAGCTATTCAAAAGCTAACATTACTAATCAGAAAGCTAAGACTAAGACCCATAAACTATCTATGGAAGAATCACCAGAAATAGAAGATGGTCAAAAAAAAAAAAAAAAAAGAAGGTGGTCAAACACCATGTACTTTAGAGCAATATATATATTGATGCCTGGAAGACAAGGAGGACCATCCAAGGGCTGCAAAGAATATGAGGCAAAGAAAGCACACAGAATCTGGAGTGAAAGAGAAGAACTGGTGTGAGACGGCAGTCCTAGTCCTACCTCTTATAATATAACTGAGCCTCCACTTCCTAGCCTATAAAGTACCCTACTTGCCTTTGAAACTGTTGTGATAATTGAAGGAACCATTACTGTTCCTTCGTAGAACGTAGAAAATTACTGTTTTCTACGTTCTATTTAGGAGGAGGAAATTGAGGTTTATAGAAATCTGAGTTGGGTGACTTGCTCAAGATCAGCTAGTTCTTGGTTGAGCTTTCGACTAGTATACTGATTTCTAGAGTCCTCGTCCAGTGCTCTTAAAAATAATTATGTAGCCTTCTATGAAGCTATGACTATACTGTGCATATAGAAATTACACCATGTTATTTTATTTGATGAAGCCCTATACCAAGATTGCAGTCGTGTGAATGAGTGAGAAGAGAACAGTTACAATCAACAACCAAAGTCCCCAGTGTTGATGTATATAGCAAAATTCTTACCACAAAATAAGTGAGGCTCCTGACTTCAGATAACAACTTCATATATATAAAATAATTACATTTTATGCCCTTAAAATGTCAGGTGTTCAAATGAAAATGAAAAAAAAATTGGCAAACTATTTGGGTATTTGTATAAACTGAATTTTAACTCTGATGATAAAATGGCCAAAGGAAGCCAACACATTTTTATATATAACTAATTCTAGTTAAAGCGTATAAATGAGAATATTTGAAATATGAATAAAATGCTTAAAGATTCTGTCATTCCTAATTTACCTTTTAGTAGCCTTTTCAAAATACATTTTGGGGGCCTATTATTTTTTCTATGTATGCCAGTCTTGTGTGCCCAAGATGATTAGGAGCTTCTGGAGGGCAGGGAGAATACCTGGCACCAAGCATCTCCTAGCCAGGCACTGATGAAGCAAAGTATACTCACCATACTGCTTGTATTTGGTATATCCCGAAATCTGTCCAGAGTTTGAAATTTCTGATTTAGTTCTTGAAACAGTTCCATATGTCTCTTCCTTGTATGCATGACCTTCTGCAAGAAAGAACAAGATGGCTCTCATTCCTAATATTATTTATGTTTTTATAAATAGAGATTTAATATTTTTGCTTTAATAATAAGAAAAATCAAGTTTGGCAGGAATCAGGAGATCACAAAAGATGCCACAAATAAAAATGAGTTGCACCAAATTTTTGTCACATTCAGCACTTCTTAAACATGAAGAATTGGCCTTTTCTTCCACTTACAAGATTGCAAAAAAAAAAAAAAATAGGTTTTTCTTATGGGTGCATTAAAAACGAAGCAGTTATTCCTGTCTGTGTAAGATTTTCATCATTCAAAAGTTAAAGCTGTTTTACAAAAATTGTAACAATATTTTTAAAATGTTTAAAAATTCGGACTTGTAAAGCATGTGAGTCACTGATGTCTGTCGTGGGAAATATTACTTTTTTATGTTTTATTTCTATAAACACTAAAATCCTAGCTGGCTGTACTAAAGGGGGAGCAAAATCCCAGGCCCTGCCATTAAGGCTGACTCAAAGCACTAAAGTGTCTGAGATGTATGTAGGATCTAAACCTTGCACTTTCCATGTGAATAATGATTGAGCTTTGCAGAAGAAAAATCTAACCCACAGGTTTCATATATTTGTTTACAAGATGGCACAGAATCTTAATAATTAGAGTTCCAGAGCATAAATCATGTGGCTAATATGCTTTTAAAATAACAGATACAATGATATTACTATCCTTCACCCTGGTTACACCCTTTTCTCCCAGCTTCATCATAACTCAACAAATGTAATCATAAATACAAATGACCTTGGGGTAGGTATCATGGGCTGAATCTTTTTTGATTACAGAGCATTGAAAAAGAGTTAGATAATAATTCCCTTGTATTTACAAGTCTTGTTTTAGAGGAAAATATGTATTACTCAATTTTGGTTTTTAAATGTTAAAAATGAGTATTTCAGTGATTCTTCAAGATTACGTCTTCACGTTTGTGTAAGATTTTACAGTATTTTTTAAGCACATGCTTCATAACTCACCATTTGCTCATGTGGTTTGTATAGGTATATTATTAATATACTCATGCCTAAGTTACGATTTGAACATTCAGTTCATTGTTTTAAATACCAAATATTTTCAAAAGTAAGAATTTGTTTTGAAAAAGAAATGTGTCTTTGGGGGAAGATCTGTGATGCTTAATTTTCTTCTAAAAAGACACTTGTGGAGATACACTTTACCTCCCTGAGGAAAAAGTAAGGGGCAAACGAGAAATGCATATTCAATCTTTAACGTATTAAACCAGCTTATTCCTTTCTATGCAAACTTTAATTTCCTATATTTAATGATTACATATCTAGACAGTACCTGGCTTAGCTAATTTCTTCTATTTTCACTAGCCAATTTTTATGTGAGCAAATTCTGTCATTTTAAGTCTTGCAATAACCAGTTTCCATCTTTGTTCCTCTTAGCTCCGGCAGTTGGCTGTTAAAGAATCAGGTGGTTGAGGACAAGAACATGGCTACATTACTCATGATGGGGACATGAAACACAGCAAGCAATTATAGAGCGATTAACTTCCCATCAGTTTTGGGGAGAGTACACAAAACAGATTTGCAGGATTTACAGAGAGACACCAGGCAAACGTAATTTGGCTACTGGTGGCTGGTGGAGGTTTATGAGAGGGAGGATTTGCATGAGCAACTCAATGGAGGGATTTTGAGGACAACGTAGTTGGCAAACATAATGCAGTACATTCTGTCCTTGGGGAGACAAACAGTTTCATGCACTACCAGGTCCTAATATACTGATTAAAATACGGGTTTGTGGAGGAAGGGGAGGAAAAAAAAGAAAAAACAATATGGGTTTGTGTCACAAAGAATACTTTTTGAAAAAATCTATCGTACTGAAGAAGACTGGCTCTGCCTCTAATTTACAAAGTGTGTTTTTCATAGTAAGGAATCTTACTAAATAGTTATTTTTTCTATGGTGCAGTAGGATTGATGTTACACTACTGACATTTCTCTAGGGAATGCATTCCATAATTTAATATATGTTTATGAGCATCACATATGGTGCTAGGTGATGGGGTAAAAATAGTGCACGAAATCTTGATCGAGTTCCTGCCCTCTTGTAGCTTGAAGTCTAATGGAGCACATAGGCATTAATTACATCATAATTCAAATAAATGTAAAATTATAACTGTGATAAAGAAAACATATGGTGCTTCCATGAGAGTAAATGATAGCAGAATTCGATAAGAAAAATCCAAGTGAGGCAATCCCCAAGTTTTTACATATTCATATTTAATTTGAAAATTCTCAAATTAGTTTATTACCATGGTCTTGTTTATTCTCTCTATTCAATTTTCTAGAATTAAGAGGATTTCCAGTTCAATTTCTAATTCTATGTCTGAATCCACTCTCCTCAATGATATCTTTCCTTTCCAAAGACAAGAAACTCATTCTTTTCTAAGATAGTTGATACCAAAGGCACAGTACTCTTATTTGAAGATAAGCATCTGATGATTTCATCTGTGCAATCTTTCATCCTTTGTCTTGTGAGAGGATTCTAACTTTTCTTTGGGGAGCTATACCTTCCTATGTTGCTAGAAATGTCAGTCCAGATCCCTACTATTCCCTGGCCAAGAAGTGAATCATTTTATATCCTTTCAAACAAAGTTCTCTTTTGTTCGTTAGTCAAAGATGCTTTGTTTCTTGCAACCAAATACATATACTAGATGAAGCATGTTTAAGAAGCAAACCAAATGTCAAATATATTTCATGGAAAAGAAGATACATTAGCTGATTGGAGGTTTTGTAACCATACTCTGATTAAATGAGCAGTACCTGATTCTGAACTGCATAGATTTTATTTTGAGGAGTTGGATTGCTAGGACATTCTAAAAAATATACAAGAAAAATATAAAGTTATGGTTTTCACCAATATTATATAACCAAAAAGCATTTTGAAATGTTCTGCGTACGTTCATGAAAGCCGTCTGAATAATAAAGCTCAAGGACTCTGAAATGAATATGGAAGCAAATGAAAAATTTGGATGCTGAAATATGGGGCCTTCCTACCTAGAAATATTAATTGCAAATATATCCTCATGCCAGATAATCATTCTAATTTGCAACTGCCACCTTGGCACTGCCAGAAATCACCATAGCGATGATGGTCTGGCATTCTGGCAAAAGTATCACATTAGAGCTGCCATTGACAGCTCACATCCCTGTCATGAACTCAGTTTGATTTTCCATGCATGATTCCTTCTTGTTCATAGACTTAAGTAGATCTTCCAGCCTTTATAATGAGGAAGGTTCCATTGATAAGAGTACCAGCTTCACAGTGAACACTGGAGAGTTTATAGTTCAGCAACATTCTGGGATAAAAACTTAGCTATGGTTTTAGCTTTCACAATTTCTGAAGGTTTCTCCTTATTTAATTATTTGTATGAGTATTTATTTGCAGCACTGATGCCTCTGATGGTCTTAACTACTTGATTAGAAGTTTTCATGCTTATAAATCTTATAGGTCCATTTCGATTGCTATGCTTGTATTTTTACTGACCTTAGAGTTTATCTGCTTATCCTTTTCTTTCTTTTGTAACTTAAACATGCTGTTTTCTAAAGAAATTGACTTCTATGAAAAGCTCAATTTAGAACTTGGTTTTTTAAAAATCATATAATGATAAAACTCTAACACATGTGGATTTTTAAATAAACAAAGATATACTCTAATTGACAGCATCTACACAATTCAGCTTCCTTTGGTTGCAATACCCATGAACTATTATAGGTGTCTTTCACAATAAACATTAGTACATGGTAATGTTCCCTTGCATTCAGATTAATATCACCGAACGTTTTTTGAAGCTGTATATGAACCCCCATTTTAAGAGATCATCAACCTAACTGCACAAGAGATATACTCTCCTGAGTAGCTTACTCCATAAGACTTTTCTTTCACTTTATACTTTTTCTTAACTCAAAAGTGTCAGTCTTTGTAACCCTTTAATTTCTGATATTAGAGAAAAAGTGATGTGTGAAGCACATTCATGATATTTCAGATATTTAAGAAAAACGAGGACAGAAAGCAACCTCTCCATCTTGAGCACCTGCTGTATCCCAACAACTCTCCTAGACCCTTTAAGTACTTGGAACATGCCAACTCCGATAGCTCTGAATCTGGAAAAACTTATGTTTAGATTTCGAGTTGTATGATCTGAAGCATAAAATCCAATCTACTTTTAGCCCCAGTTTCAGTAATCAGACTTACCTTGCAGGGTTACTTTGAAGATTTAAAAAAGAATATAACGCACTTATCACTGGACCACACAGATAAGTGCCACTTAAGAAATGGCAGCCATTATTATCTGTCTTAATCCTTGCAATAACCCTGGGAGGTAGAAGCCATTATCTCCATTTTACTGATTAGGAAACTGAAGCTCGAGGAGGCTAAGTAACTTTCCCAAGCTTGCACAGGTGGTGAGCAAGCTGGAATTATTTCTGAATCCCCCATCAATCCTCTTTGCATGCTGCTATCTTAGATGTATCTCATAGATTCAGGGAGTATCCTCCTCCTTTAGACTATTCAGGTGTGTGATTATTTCTTGTTCAGATGGAAAGTGAGACAAAACAATCCAGGATGGGTTAGATACTCTCTGTAGTGAGCCTGTAAACTCTATAGGTACTGATTATTCTGCTGCTATCTCATATACTGCAACGATCTTTTTTAGGGCTGGTCCTCATATCTTGTCTCCGAACACTTCATGGGCAGTGACTTATTCATCTTTGTATCCCTGACCCCTGGTACAGTGTCTGGTATTCAGTAGTTGCTCAATAAATGTGTACTGAATAAGTGAAATGAATGAGATAGCATAGGTATATAGGCCAGGGAAGGTGATTACAATACGGAAGGTCATTATAAATGTTGTCTTTTCTTCTTCTTTAAAAGAAGTCTCCTCACTGGAAGGATGGCTCATTTTAACGGCCCACACAGGAGCCCTGCCTCCTCATTCTCATTCTATT